AGCAGGGGGTTCAGGCAGGAGTGGACCAGGCCCAGGCTCTGGGTCACAGTGCGGCTGATATCCAGGGCATTCAGCCTGGCGCAGTCGGGGCGGATGGCGCCCAGCGACTGGAGGGTGTCGACAAAAAGGACCACGTTGTAGGGCAGCCAGCAGATGATGAAGACCACCACCAGAGCCACCACCACCTTGAGGGTCTTCTGCCTCTCGAAGACGTTACTCCTCCACAGGTTTCTGAAGATCAGGCAGTAACAGTGTAACATGGCAGAGATGGGCAGGAAGAAGCCCAGGCACTGGTGTACCAGGCTCAAGGCAAACTTCCAGCCTTCTGCGCTCTCCACCCCAAAGGAGTAGGTGCAGGTTTTCATGGTCAAATAGCTGGGCTGGTACACGTCGCGGAAGATGAGGTCCACGGTGGCCAGCAGGAGGCAGAAGAGCCAGACGACGAGGCAGGTGACGTGGATGTAGACGGGCTTGCGTTTGCGATACATGTGGATGGCGTGGACGATGGCGAGGTAGCGGTCAAAGCTGATGCAGACCAGGAACAGGATGCTGCTGTACAGGTTCAGGGCGAAGATCCATCCCATGATTTTACACATGCTGACCCCAAACAGCCAACCGTTGACCGCTTCCACCATCCAAAAGGGGAGGGTGAGGACCAGGACGAAGTCGGCGATAGCCAAATGCAGGATGAAGGAGTCGGTGAGAGTCCTGGAGTATTTATACCGGGCGATGATGAAGATCAGCACGCCATTTCCGAACACTCCCAGCACAAACACCAGTGAGTAGATGATGGGGATAAAGATGCTGTTGAAATAGCCTATGATAATGGGCTTGCAAGGCTGCGCGAATATCAAGCCACTTTCCAAATAGTCATAATCGACCTTTTGAGAAACGGAAAGTCTTGTTATGTAGCAGCAAAGGGTTTGATCAGCCCCCAGTCAGGCTCGTTCCAGCTTTAACAGCATTACACATACCAACAGCCAGCTATATACAAACAAGAGTGAGATACAGGGTAGAGCTCTCTCTATGTTGTTCCCCATCAAACACTCCCAGGATAGGGACAGCACAGGGTTAGATACAGAGTAAAGCTCACTCTACGCTGTCCCCCCATCAAACACTCCCAGGATAGGGACAGCACAGGGTTAGATACAGAGTAAAGCTCTCTCTACACTGTCCCCCATCAAACACTCCCAGGACAGGGACAGCACAGGGTTAGATACAATATAGATGTCATAGAAATATATCAGATTCTTAAGGGGCTTTGGCAGGCCAAATGCTGAGAGGATGTTTCCCCTCATGGGGAGAGCCAAGGGCACAGTCTCAGGATAAAGAGACATCAATTTAAGACTGAGATCAGGAGAAATTTCTTCTCTCGGACACTTGTGAGTCTTTCCCTCAGAGAGCTGTGGAGGGGCAGAGTCCTTGTGTATATTTAAGGCTGAGACAGAGAAATCCCTGATCAGTCAGGGAATCAAGGGATACGGGGAAAGGGTGTGGAAGTGGACATGATCAGGCATGAATGAGGAGAGCAGCCCTGATGGGCTGAATGGCCTACTCCTCCTGCTAGTCCCTGACACAGTGTGTATCCAGTATATCCCTCACTCTGATGTGTCCTGTCCTGATACTGAGCCAAACACAACAATGATATTTCCATGACTGTTTTATTACGTGTGTTTACAAATGAATATGCCATGGGAAGGGAAGACACCAAATACGCACAGAAGCGCTGACATCGTTCTACGCACAGTCTGACTTTGATGCCTGGCTAAAAATGATTAGATCGGAAATCACAGAGCGCTTTAATCATTGATACCGCGAATGCACACAAAAAGCAGTGTAGCTCAGAAAATAATTCACTTCAGAATTGATCAACTAGTTGCTCAGAAATGTTCGAAGTACAAGTTAGGGAGAACGAACCACCCACTGGGATTCTGCATCAAGCCCAGCCTGAACGTTAAAAGTCTCATAAAAGCTGCCATGTGTCTGGACAACGAATCTAGGAGGGGGATATTTAGCCCTACCAACCCCATCCCATCCCCAACTGCCCCATCTTGCCTGGGCTGGCCGTGTTGGAAAACTCTGCTCTCCTTCCCACCCCCAAATTATAGCCCTGCCCGTCTTTGCCCCTTCAGGGGGGTGGTTTCCAGCAGCTGTTTCCAACAGCAGAACAGCCTCTAAATGTGGGAGGCTATGTATGAGCGACTGACTGTGGGGCGGCCCACTGAGAGGGAGGGGGATTGGAGGAAGAGTGCATTTCTTTCTGGAGTTGCGCCATGTAGGAGGTGGGTGTTTGCAGGGAGGGTGTGTGTATGGAATAGCTTTGGTGCTGAGTTTTGTCTGGCTACAGATAATTTGTGAGGCCCTTCACGACGCGAGTATGTACAAATATCCTTCGAGTAGCATCACAAAGTTTGGGAGACCCATGCACTCCTCCTACATGACCAGTTTTCAAATAGAACACAGTGTGGAGCTGGAGGAGCACAACATCAGAGGAGCAGGAAAGTCGACGGTTCTTCAGAAAAATGGTTTTCAAAATCAGGTTTCAATATTCCCAGCAGGTTATTGTAAATTGCTTGTGAGAGGATGAGCGAGAGATTTTAGCTTGATTGCCAAGAGACACAGGATCTATTCCCCCACCGACTGAGAACAAATTTCCTCCTCAATTTCTCCCCTCACCTGAGGTGTGGTGAAGGCTTAAATCTGCCTCAGTCATCTATCTCTCTCTTTCTCTCTCTCTCTCTCTTTCTTTAATGAGAGAGCAGACCTATGGTCCTCCAGGATGAAGACAACTTTTGGCTGGAGATATCTAGAGGAGATGATGAGGGGAGTTGCTTTTCGATCGTCTGTTCCAAGCCTGTGGAACTGTCTACCTCAGGGAACACAGTTCTGAGAGTCTGAATGTTTTTTGGAGCTTTGTGTGAGTTAGGTTGTGTTGGGGTAGTTGTGGGGGAGTTATAGAAGTGGGGGGAGCCAGCAGAAGGGAGTCAACACTTCAAACAGATCGGGACCAATCTTATGAAACATGCAGCAATCTTGACAGGCCAAACTGCACCACACCACCACCCCCCTCCATTGGTTGGCTTTCTGATTGGCATGTCATGGTTTAACCATGAGTTTTTGTTGGCGGGTAATGGGGGCATTGAGTAGGGGGTAATGGAAGAAAGGGTTGGTGGCGGGGAATGGGGAGGGGGTTTGGCATTTCTCTACCATATCATGGAGTGCGAGGTGGAGGTTTCAGAGTCTGAGATGGCCGAGGTTGTCCGTTTGTGTTTCCCAGTCTGCCTTCCCGATGCCAGCCTCTTCTTTAGGCACCCCAAACGTACAAGTATCCTAACCACCTCATGCCGAAACCTGACCCCTATGAAGGCGTAGAGCAGGGGGTTCAGGCAGGAGTGGACCAGGCCCAGGCTCTGGGTCACCGTGCGGCTGATATCCAGGGCATTCAGCCTGGCACAGTCGGGGTGGATGGCGCTCAGAGACTGGAGGGTGTCGACGAAAAGGACCACGTTGTAGGGCAGCCAGCAGATGACGAAGACCACCACCAGAGCCACCACCACCTTGAGGGTCTTCTGCCTCTCCAGCATCTGGGCACGACACAGCGTCTTGAAGATGAGGCAGTAGCAGTACAGCATGCCAGCCATGGGGGCAAAAAAGCCAATGACGTGATGGGTGGCAATGATGGCGAGTTTCCAGGCCCCGGCGCTATCCGGGTGAAACATGTAGGTGCAGACGGTGGAGTTGAGGTAGCTCGAGGTGTAGGTGTCGCGGAAGACGAGGTCCAAGGTGGCCAGCAGGAGGCAGAAGAGCCAGACGACGAGGCAGGTGACGTGGATGTAGACAGGCTTGCGTTTGCGATACATGTGGATGGCGTGGACGATGGCGAGGTAGCGGTCAAAGCTGATGCAGACCAGGAACAGGATGCTGCTGTACAGGTTCAGGGCGAAGATGGCGCCAATCATCTTGCACATGGTGGTGCCAAACGTCCAGCCGATGACCGCCTCTACTGCCCAAAAGGGGAGGGTGAAGACCAGGAGGAGATCAGCTCCGGCTAAGTTTAGGATGAAGGTATCCGTGAGGGTTCTCCTGGTTGCCTTGTAGCATCCAGTGATCAGGATAACCATTGTGTTGCCAAAAACTCCCAATAGGAGGACGAGGGAGTACAGAACAGGCACAAAGACCCGCACAAAATTTTCGACTACAATGGGTCTGCAAGGCTGGCTAACCACAAGATCAGAGATATCAAAGTCGCCATAGTAGTCTTCCTTTAAAAGAGAAACAGAAAAGAAGCATTATTTCACAACTTTGGGGGCCTCACTTTCCATTTACTTGGTCTTTCTCTCTCTCTGATCGAGCGCCTCCCTGGAGGGAGTGAGTGGTAATTTATTTTGGCCAACTTGTCCCTCATCCAGGTGGGCGTGTCCCCTACGGGAGTCCGCAAGTGGCCAGGGGGAGGGGGGGTGGGGGTTTGAATTTTGAGGGCAGAAACTTTCGGGCCTAAAAGGGAGGGGGGTGGTTCTAATCGAGGGCTTTTGAGACGATCGAAGTGTGCGAAAGGATCCAGGGGGCAGAGTGTTTCGAATTTGAGCTGGGCCATTCACAGAGGGACAATTAAGGGTCAATCCCATTGCTATGGGTCTGGAGTCACATGTAGGCCAGCAGAACTCCTTCCTTGAGGGGAACAATTAGTTTGTCGGATGCGTTTTGTGAACGGGAGTGTCAGTAGTTTTCATATTTAACCTGAAGGGCTGGGGAGCCAAGGAAGATAAACTGGATTTAGATGCACATCATGGTTCAATTGGATAGCAGAACACACACTCGAGAGGCTGAATGGCTTCCTGCAGTATACCCAAGCTGCTCTATCCACTCACCAGGTCCTACGGAATTTTATTCATTCACGGGATGAGGGCGTTGCTAGCCAGACCAGCATTTATTGCCCATCCCTAATTTCCCAGAGGGCAGTTAAGAGTCAACCACATTGCTGTGGGTCTGGAGTCACATGTAGGCCAGACCAGGTAAGGATGGCAGTTTCCTTCCCTGAAGGGTGTTGGTGAACCAGATGGGTTTTTCCAACAATTGACAATGGATTCACGGTCATCATTAGATTATTAATTCCAGATATTTTATTGAATTCAAATTCCACCATCTGCCGTGGAAGGATTCGAACCTGGGACCCCAGAGTGTTATCTGGGTCTCTGGATTAACAGCCCAGCGATAATACCAATAGGCCATCGCCTCACCCTGCGACAGGAACCATTTGATCTTTGTGCTGATTTCCTGGGAAGGGGGTGTTGGGGGGCCAGGACCACATTCGCCTCTCACCAAACTGGAATTCATGAAAACTCCCAAATATCCATCTTCCCCATCCAACACTGGCCGTGAAATTGAGCCACTGGGGAATATATTACGAACCTCTTGAACGGCGCATTTCCGACAACGAGTTGCAAAGAGATGCAATCAGAGAGACCGAAGGCCTGGTCACAGGTTCAGGAGGAGGCCGCGAATGATGTCAAGGCCCTAGCTTTGGATTAATAAATCATTCAGAATCCCAGGCAGATGCTCCGAACTCGAGTTTGAATCCCTCGTTGGATTCTAGAGGGGTTTAGGTTTCACATAAAAAACGGGCAGTTGAACAGAGCGGTCTGGCCTACATGTGACTCCAGTCCCACAGCTCCCAACTCCTTACTGACTGCCTCCCACCCCACCTCTGCAGCCACTGTTAGCAATTACAGATAGTCCGGGATATCCTGTGTCTTTGAGTCAAACTAATGAATGAAGTCCTCAGGAGGAGGAAACTGAGAGGAAAATAATTGAGGCCCAAATCCTCATTTGGCCTCAACTGCATCCTGGGTTCCAAACATTAGGCCTTTGCAAAGGCCGTGGGAAAGTTCAGAGAGAAAGGATTCAATACCTAGGGTTTTCCGACGTGCGGATTGGTCAGAGCTCAGTTCCAGGCGGCAAATCAAAAGCTTAGAGGAGTTTTCTTTTTCTTCAACAGTGTTCCAGGTCATGCGGGCTCTAGAGAGAGCAGGAACCATACACAAGAGGGAAGGAAAATCCTGGGCTGAAGGGTAAAGGTGGTTGAGCTTAGGGGATTGGAACTAGATGAGTTGTAGAGCCAACACAACGCATTCTTTCCACACTGTATTTGGTGAATGATTCTTTGAGAGGCTTTGAAGAGTTAAGGCCATTTCGGATCAGGCCGCATTCTCATCGGAAGGCAGAGCAGGAGATCGAGGGGCTGAATGGCCTACTCCGGCTCTTATTCTCCAGCTGAAGTGGCACGGCGCTGTTTGAGAGATGAACAATGACGTGTTTTTTTGCATCTTCACCAGATTAGGTACAGAGCACGGAGCAGATGGGTTGAGTGGGTCTTCACAAGAAGAACATTATAGGGTAGGGTCGTCAAAATATAGTCAATCTTCAAGAGGACTGGAACGTGAGCGCCTCACACTAGGGCTATCCCTCATTCCAGGGAGTTTCCATTCTTTGGAGGAAGGAAGACATTTCAACTTCAAAATGTAGAGTCCAACTCTGATCTTCGGGTCAATTTCCTTGCTCATGGGCCATGGGAACGGATCTCTCTCCAATATTTCACTGGCTTCTCGCCTCGGCGACAGAAGATTCCAGACGCATGACCAGGCCAATGCCAGCCGCCTCCATACTGAAAGGCAGCGGTCACAAAGGACAGCATTGGTTCATTGTCTTCATCGGGTAGTTCCACACTGTCAGGAGGCTCAGGAACGCATGGAGGAGAAGTTTAAGCCTTGTAAGAGGTGATGAGATGTTTCAGACAACACAGAGGTTGACGGGTGTTGGTGGGGGGAGCCATGCAGGTGAAGCAGGGGATTGGAAAGAGATGTTGGGTAAACGAGTAGACCCAAAGACATCACAAGGCTGGGCTCAAGTGAGATCAACTACTTTTGATTCATGAAAGGGATAGAACGAGGACATTCTCAAATGGGGAAGATCTCAAAACAGTGGAGGTCCAAAGAGACTTGGGGAGTGGGGGGTGGGGGAATAGGGGGGGCGGGGGGGAGCGGGGCATTCCAGGGATGCTGATCATTAAAATACCAGGACCCAAGGTAATGATCAAAACATGCCATTTACATGCAAGCACCAGATTTCATAGGTGAGGGCTTCCAAATCTGCATTCTGAAGAATTAAAGCCTCGATAGGGAGCTCAGGGTGTCCAATTGGGTTTGAGCAAAAGTGAGAAGTTTAAAGAGAAAGAAAGCCGCATTGGGAGAACCAAAATGTGGTGTGGACAAACAAAGCCCATCGATATTCCACTCTTGAATTTCAGAACACATCCGCGCAGAAGGTTATTCTGCAAAGTAGGATTGTAGAGTGATAGAGCTCTACAGCTCAGAAAGGCCTTTGGCCCATCGCATCTGTGCTGGTCACGTCAGAGGCGGGGGAAACATGTTATAAACTGGATGGAAGACAGGCCGGCTTGGAGAAAACAGAGAATTCCTAAATAAAATGTCGTGTGCGTCAACAAAACAAAGAACTGCAAAGGCTGGACAGTGGTGAGGCCACTTTTGGAATAATGTGCTCAATACTGGTCTCTTTGCTACAGGAAAGGTGTTGCGAAACTTGAGAGGGTTCAGAAAAGATTTACCAGGATGTTGCCGGGGTTGGAGGGTGTGAGCAACAGGGAGAGGTTGAAGAGGCTATTTTCCCTGGACCTGAGGGACAAACTTATAGAGGTTTATAAAATCATGAGGGGCATGGATAGGCTGAATAGTTAAGGTCTTTTCTCCAGGGTAGGGGAGTCCAAAACTAGAGGGCATAGGTTTGAGGTGAGAGGGGGAAGAAATTAAAGGGTCACTCTTTCAGGACTGAAATGATGAGAGTTTTTCTCATTCAGGAGAATGTACGACTTTGGCACTGTCTGTCTCAGAAGGTGCGAGAGGAGATGATTGGTTCCTCTAGATCCTCTGCACCAGGTACTTGGGGCTGAATGGCCTCCTCCAGTTCCTCTGTAATAGGCTCACAGACTGAAGGAGCCAGCCCCTGCTTCCACAATTAAATAAACACATTTTATCTCAATCGCGGTTTATTTGTATGTTGTCCGAAAATATCACGAGACCGTCACGCGAGGAAAGGTTAGCGAGCTCCGACACAATGGTAAGAGAAAGCACAGACTGATAACGGCCTAGCCCTGTCCTGGGAGTGTTTGATGGGGGACAGTGTGGAGAGAGCTTTACTCTGTATCTAACCCCGTGCTGTCCCTGTCCTGGGAGTGTTTGATGGGGGGACAGCGTAGAGGGAGATTTAGTCTGTATCTAACCCCGTGCTGTCCCTGTCCTGGGAGTGTTTGATGGG